TTTGAGACGGAGTTTCACTCTTGTTACCCAGGCTGGAGTGCAATGGCGCGATCTCGGCTCACCGCAACCTCCGCCTCCTGGGTTCAGGCAATTCTCCTGCCTCAACCTCCTCAGTAGCTGGTATTACAGGCACGTGCTACCATGCCCAGCTAATGTTTTTGTATTTTTAGTAGAGACGGGGTTTCACCATGTTGACCAGGATGGTCTTGATCACTTGACCTCATGATCCACCCGCCTCGGCCTCCCAAAGTGCTGGGATCACAGGCTTGAGCCACCGCGCCCAGCAATTTTCGTATTTTTAGTAGAGATGGGGTTTCACCATACTGGTCAGGCTGATCTTGAACTCCTGACCTCATGATCTGCCCGCCTTGGCCTCCCAAAGTGTTAAGATTACAGGTGTGAGCCACCGTGCCCATTTGGTCATTAATTTTAATTGATTTTCAAATGTTAAGTCAACCTTGTATTCCTAGGATAAATTCTACTTGGTCATAGTATATAATCTTCTTTACATATTGCTAGACTTGCTTTGCTAGGGTTTTGTTGAGTATTTTTATGTCTATATTCATAAGAGCAACTGGTCTGAAGTCTTCTGTGATATTTTTATCTGGCTTTGGTATCTCACATTAGATTTCTATTGGCTGGTGCTCCTCTAATCTTTATGTGGTAGCTTTCTTTTTTTTAATAGAAACTGTCATTTATTTACTTATTTATTTATTTATTTATTTTTAATTTGAGACAGGGTCTCATTCTACAACTCAGACTGAGTACAGTGGCATGACCTTGGCTCACTGCAATCTCTGCCTCTTGGGGTTAAGTGATCCTCCTGCCTTGGCCTCCCAAGTAGCTGGGACTATAGGTGTGCATCATCACACCTGGTTACTTTTTGTATTTTTTAGTAGAGACAGGGTTTGCTATGTTGCCTAGGCTGGTCTCAAACTCCTGTACTCAAGCGATCAGCCTGCCTCAGACTCACAAAGTGCTGGGATACAGGTGTGCACCACCATGCCCAGCTAATTTTTGTATTTTTTGTAGAGAAGGGTTCTCCTATGTTGTCTAGGCTGGTCTTGCACTCTTGGGCTCAAGCATTCCTACTGCCTTGGCCTCCTAAAGTGATGAGATTATAGGTATGATCACCATGCCCAGCCCCCATCTTTGTGTTAGTAGAGGGCAATAAAGAATCTATTGGCCAGGCAAGGTGGCTCACATGTGTAATCCCAGCACTTTAGGAGGCTGAGGTGGGTGGATCACCTGAGGTCAGGAGTGCAAGACCAAGCTGACCAACATGGAAAAATTCTGTCCCTATAAAAAATACAGAATTAGCTGGGCATGGTGGCACGTACCTCTAATCCCAGCTACTTGAGAGACGGAGGCAGGAGAATCACTTGAACCTGGGAGTCAGAGGTTGTGGTGAGCCGAGATTGTGCCAATACACTCCAGCCTGGGCAACAAGAGCGAAACATTTAAAAAATTTTTTTTTTAAAAAATTAGCAGGGTATGGTGGCACATGCCTGTAGTCCCAGCTTCTCAGGAGGCTGAGGTAGGAGAATTGCTAGAACTCAGGAGGCAGAGATTACAGTGAGCTGAGATCGCATCACCGCACTCCAGCCTGGCAACAGAGTGAGACTGAGGCTCAAAAATAAATAAATAAATAAAATAAAATAAACAAAGAAACTACTATGTTGGGTGTGGTGGCTCATACGTATATATAATCCCATCACTTTTTTTGCATATGGACACTATGTTTGCTACTTTTTTTTTTTTTTTTTTTTTTTTTTTTTTTTTTTTTTTTTTTTTTTTTTTTTTTTTTTTTTTTTTTTT